ATATTTATTTATTTTAAGAAAAAGATATATTTATTTTAAGAAAAAGAAAGGGTGTTTCAGAAGATATATATATAGATATATATTATATTCAGATTTATCAGGTGGTCCCTAGAAAAGCCCAGCAGAATATTCTGTTGACCTAAGATAGCTGGTGCAGCCACGGCAAACATTTAAGCCATGACCGAAATATATACATGTAGTGACTCTTGCATAAGACAGAAGCTGTTCATAGTCCACAGCTTAGCCAAATACCTTACCAAATATGTTTTCAGGATACAAAAACCAAAACCTTAACACCCAATTTTGGTTACAAAACCTTCTATCACTAAACTCAGGACAGGAGAGGAGTGCACATCACTAACATGGAAATACATACCTGCAACACATACAAATTTAAAATATAATTCCCTCTCCACAGAAAAAAATGACACACATTTTCTTTCTCAGTCATCAAACCTGAAAAGGCCACTGTTTTTCTGGAATGCTTTTAGTGGCTCCTCACTACAAGAAGGACCTTGAGTTGCTGGAGCATGTCCAGAGATGGGCAATGAAGCTGGTGAGGGGTCTGGAGAAAAAGTCTTACGAGGAGCGGCTGAGGGAACTGGGGTTGTTCAGCCTGGAGGTGGCTGAGAGGAGACCTCATTGCTCTCTATAACTGCCTGAAAGGGGGTTGTGTTTAGGTGGGTGTTGGTCTCTTCTCCCAAGTAACTAGCGACAGGATGAGAGGAAATGTCCTCAGGTTGCACTAGGGCAGGTTTAGACTGGGTATTAGGAAAAATTTCATTACTGGAAGAGTGGTCAGGCACTGGAACAGGCTGCCCAGGGAGGTGGTGGAGTCACCATCATGGGAACTCTTCAAAAAACGTGTAGATGTGGCACTTGGTTTAGTGCGCATGTTGGTGTTGGGTTGACGGTTGGACTTGATGATCTTAAAAGTCTTTTCCAACCTTAATGATTCTATGATCCTACAGTGCATATGCAATGGGAAGACAAACATTGACTACTATGACTACTTCATGTACTAAAATTAGTAACATCATTCCTCTCAGTCCTCTCATGGATGCCCAAAATGGAATAAAAGTAAGAGGCACATTCATCTTCATTTGTAAGTATAAACAGGCGCACACATCACATGTACACTTTTGCACACACACTATCCTCTGGAACTATGTTTCTTTTCTTAATTACTCTTACAGGAGGAGAGGCTGCACTTACTACTAACTGTAGCTAAAGAGCTGTAGCTAAACAAAGGCTGATCTCTGACAAGCAACCTCCTAAAACAGGGGGTGTACAACTTTAAGCTTCTGTTCTTACTAAGTGATTAGCTGATACAGCTAAGAAATCTAGACGAGGGTAATATGTGGGCATCATAACAATTGGCTCTCACCTTTTCTGGCTGGTCTTGAAGAGGAGTAGAGGCTTTGTAACCCAGCTGTAGCAACATAGCTTCTGCTGCATTTCTTTTAGCTATTTTCTTGTTTGGGCCTGTTCCAGTGGTAATCTCATTGCCTACTTTTACCTTAAAAAGAAAACATTAATCATAATCATGACAAATGCAAGACTCCTTAATATCACCATGTAATAATCTTGCTGACCTACCAACAACCGTCAGCTTTTTCGATGAAGATACAACTGTGGAAAAGTAAGAATAGAGCAGAAGGGAACTACAACATTGCTTCATACAGAGGAGCTTGTTTAGATTTTTCAGAAGGTCCCCAAACTTGTACCAAAGAGCTACGTTTTTTTGCATCGTAGTGCACACAAAGCTGTCTCGCTCTTCCACCAGCCTCTGTGCCAACCCCATTCTCCCTGCTGAACATCTCGCCCCCTCTTGCTCTCCCCTCTTTCTCAACGGGGGAAGCGCTACAGGATCTGGACTTCTTTGTCCTTGTAGGAGCGTTGCCTGCAGCAGCTCCTCAGCATCGTTAGGACAGTATCCAGAACAACAGAGAGACAATGACCCGGAGATTTAAATGCGAGTGGTTTCTAAAGAAAGATGCAAACCATGTTCACATTTCTCCCACTTTGTCGCACTGCAAGGAAGATGGGGGCTGAGGCTGCGTTCTTCCGCACTAACACCTGACAAGCTTTTATCAAAACAGTCTTTGGAAAGAAGGCTCCTTGCTGGACTGTGGTCTGTACTGCACAAAGGGTTTCTGACAAGTAAGACGCTTTTCATAAAACCAGGAGGAATTTAAACCTCAAAATAAAGACAAATTATAGACAATGGATATCCACAAAGAGTAAGGCTCTAACTTATTCCTTGGCTTTGGTACCATTTTTAAACTCCTGAAGCTGTATGCATCTGGTTTGAGATATCAGCACTGTCATTGCTATTCACTTATGCAATATTCATAGCTCTTTGACAGCTATATCTCACTCTGTCCGTTAAGCCATTTTATTTGCGAAATTTTCACTCAAAATTGTGTATGGTTTCAAAACTGTGTTAAAAAAAGGAAATCAAAATAAAATAAAAATAATGAAATAGCCAAGGTGCTCTGAATAAAAGAAACCTTAGAGGTCAAAGACCTGAAACAGTTTGAAAGGAGCTTTAAAAAAATTGTAAAGACAGGCATACAATTATTAAATAAATAATAAATGTTACTTAGTAATTTATGTCATTCAGTAATTATTCACTTTCATCAAATTATCAAATTAATGAACAAATATTTGAGTATCAAATTATCAAATTAGTATGTATATATTTTCCTCAGATTTTAAGTTTTTCTTTACTCAAATACCTATTAATTCTAAATACAAAGAAGAGGTTGTATATAAATAATAATGATCACGAATATCACTTCAAAGTACATATATAATTAAACAAAAAGATTCAGCTACCTGAGACAGAAATATTAATAATCCTGAAATAAAAATCTTATCTTCTATGCAGTTCCACAATCACAATTAGAAAATAGCTAATCTGCTACAAGTTTATATGCAATAAAAATGAGGGACTTTAATGGGACAAGAAAAAAATTGTAATTTATAACATAGCTCACAATAAATCAACGTGCTGCTATTTCTCAGACCTGTAAAACTAGTTTAGCTATTATTATAACCTCTATCAAGGATTAAAGGTCTGACTACAAAGAGAAAGAGCTTTCTGAAATTAACTTTGGGAACAGAATACCAACTAATGTCATCAGAGGTTTTCTTCTGTTTATCTAGTGGTCAGGACAAGTAATTGGATCCATTTCATCACATCTAAACTTGCTCTTTGTGTGACAGATAAAAATGAACATATTATCTCTGGATATTTTACTTCCACATTCAATTAAATTAAATGAAAACATTGTTTAAGTAGTTTATACAAAGGCTTTTTATTCTGATAAGGTTTTTTGCATGTCATAATAAATCCATGGAGACTTCCTGAAGGCGGGAGAAACAGCAGTATGATTTTAGTGTGAAAATATCACAAAAGGGTAAAAATGGGGCTACAGTGTTTAAAAGTATACACAATAAAGCAACTGATCTATGGAATGTCTTTGACTTTCACAAGTTGTCTTAGACAAGGAAATCTTCTACATATTCACTGCTTTTAAGATTTTTTTTTTATTCAAATCAAAGTTTTTGCTGTTATTGAGACTCCTCCAATGGAAAACCAAATACTCAGCCCATCTTTCTCATACTGGACTGTGTTACACAGTCCTCTTCTGATGCCTCACACAACCATCTCTAACTGTGGACACTCCCATGGGGGTCTGAGCGAGAGAAAAGGAATGGTCTGTGATAGGATCACACTTTTTAAAATACTTTCATGTATCATAAAAAGTTGAAAATCCAAGTTTATACACATAAATAAGATTCTACAACTAAAGGTATCTAATATCTTCTTTTGCTTCAGAGAGAAAAATAGTAAATCATCAAGAAAGACCACTGAGGTCCAAGAAAATAAAGATTGCTAGCCTATCTTGATTGACATGAGGGTGGGACTTAAAGATATAAGTGAAAACATAACTAATTTTCTGGAGAAGGAGGTGCTGGAACGTCATAAATTCTGTTTGTGATCAGAAGTGACATTTTGGTGTGGTTTGTAGACAGCAAGTCAAAACATATTCAGGTATGCTGTTCTGAATTGTTCCAGCACAAAATTACCCCTGAGTGAAAACACAAGAGAAAAGAATTTCTTCCTGTTCCTAATCTTTCTTAACCTGCTGTTGTGCTATCTAACAAAACATCATGGTTATACCAAATCTTTGTGAATGTTCTTAATTTAAAAATTAAAGAAACATTAATGATCTACTGTTGCTGTATTAGGTCCAGAGCCTTTAAGTGAACAGGCTACAACATGTGATTGGAGGGTTTTTTTGTGGTACTTCAGATACCAACAAAGCCACAAAGGAAGTGAAAATCTGAAAAGAGTTCTTACAAGATTTACAAGACTTTTTTTTTTTTTAACCAAGATGCTTGGTAATATGGAGACATTCATAGCCATATTCAGGATACTTCTTTGTATTGCAGTCCTCTGACCAGCAACAGCAAAAAAAAATTTTTTTCAAAAAGACAAGTAAAAGTAAATCATGAACCATCAGGGATAAAGACAGAAACCATCAGGTGAAATAAAAATAAGAAGAGTATAAAAAATGCAAAACCACCACAAGAAAAGCATCTAGAAGGAACATAACCTAATTGCCCTTTATTTCACCAAGAGAAAAGAAAGTTCAAACAGGCTTTCTGACACTGTATTTCATACTCTTCTTGTATAACTCACTGTAAAACAAAGAGCTAAACACAGAGGGATCTGCTTCATATTATGCCAACATTTTGCTTGAGTTTGAACATAACATGGAAAGGGCATTATCTCTAACGTGATGGCAGACAATACCTGCATAACAAACTCTCGACGGCGAGGCATTCCTCTCTCTGAAAGAAGAACATACTCTGGCTCCTTCTCCTTTTTGGCCTGTTGGATCTGAGCCAGACGACTGATGGGATTCATTCCTTGACCATATTCTGGCCCAGTCTAAAGCAGGTATACAAGAAAGAACCATTATTTCAACATATATCCATATACAACTACTATGCTTCTTCAATAAATCTTTTACTAGGGTTACCTCTTCTTTAATACTCCCTTCGAGAGAATCAGAAGTAAATTTCTTCCCATCTTCCGATCACGAGACAGGAGGTAAGAATCCTCAAGCTCAAAACTGTGGCAAAAATACGCCCCTATTGCCTGCCACTGTTGCAGGTAGCGTGCGCACCCGGCATGCGTAAGCTACTAATACCCTCAGCTACCTGTGGAGGTCCTATGGGGATGGATGAAAACTAGCAGATTCATCAGTCAACTCTATCTCATTGCCCTATACTATCACCCTTTCCCCTAACCTCTTCAAATAGGTTGCTACAGTGCTGGAATATGCGGTATGTTAAGAAGAGGTGGGACTTACATGGGGACAAAAAGGATTTGCCATATAACAAGGAAAATGCCTCTCTCAGCCTTCCTACCTGCCTTTCAGCACTCCTGCCTTCCACCCTACGATGCAACTAAAGGTGTAGAAGGTTTACTCTGTTTGCATGTCATAGGAATTCACACTCAAAATACTTTTATGTAGTGAAGCTAGAGAGGAGCCACCCACAAAGTATTTTAAATGCTTAACAGACAATAATCCTCACAATAACATGTTGAAATGTAGGGTTGGTGAAGGAATTGATCTGATGGGGGGAAAACAAAAGGACTGAGAGACTGTCTGTCCAAGACTACACAGACAGGTGAAAAACTACAGTTCTTACAAACTACCCAGTTCTGAAATCCTTTTAATATGTTATTACTCACATGGCAAATGCTCTCTGAAAGCAAACAGCTATGAAAATATTTGTTTCTAGAGCTTAATGAGAAGAAATTAAGACCCCAAAAAGTTTATCTGAAGTCATATTTAACTGATTTATATACCATAACACAAAGAATGAACTTGCATATAAATGTATTCAAATGTAAATGGCATTTGAATGTAGAATTGTTTTTATGTTATTGAGCTATTTCCTTTTTGTGAAGCCATTTGCAGGATAAGAGGAGATCAGCAGTCAAGCTTGTCTGAGCTTCTCAAATAAGGACAAACAAGTGACCCAGAACCTAAAGAGATGATCAGCAATTGAAGGCAAAGACCAGAGAGGGATGTTACATTAAGGAAGCTGTGCAGCAAATCCTACATACTGTAACTGCTGAAGTTGTTAGAGAAGATGTAGGTGAAAGAGTTAAGACAATGTCATGCACAAGGGCAGCTGTGTGGGCAAGAAGCCAGGCAGAGACAAAATGCAGAGCAGGCTAAATAGAGCGCAGGCCATAAGATATAGCCTCATAAATATATATACAAAGAAATTGTTGTCACTTTTTTTGATGCTCAAACATATGCAGGTTAAATTAAAAGAAATAGGCACACTAAAAGCATTTGAGAAGTTTGGATATTCAAAAATTAAAAACACTCTACATATGCAGGTTATTTTGACTATTACCATCTCTTTCTAACATGGCCAACTTTGGATAATTCCGTTTAAGATTGTAATGGTAAATGGTATATGGTAATATAAGAGATTTTTACATTATTATACCCTTAACATCTTTCTTGAGAAAAGCCTTCCAAAATGAGACAGCAGAGCCAACAGCCTTTTCAGATCTTGCAGCTTTACAGATGCATTAATGCTGATGGTTTGCCATTAAATAATTTTTTTATGGTCACCTTTTCCTAGAAGTTTTTGGGAATTAGATCCCCAGAATTTCAGTAGGAGCCAAATATCTAATTAACCTTTTGAAAAAAAATGTTTTTGATTGAAGGCAAATGAAAAGAGGAAGATGATGAAGTAAGCCCTTTGTACATTTTCCAAACCCAGTTTCGCACTCTCCAAAGCATTTGCTTATTTTAGATGGCTTTTCTGTTGGCTGCTTCTACAGAACTCTGCACTTGGTATACCGAGTATACAGATTTCTAATGGTAATAATTTTAGTAAATCAAGCACTGATTTACTTACTTTTACAATCTATCAATGTAACACTCAATGAAGACTGACTTCAAGCCATACTGATTTAATGCTGTCCAGCCTAACATAATGCAAGCTGTAGACATAACATAATTCATAAAAATTGAAGATTTTTTTTTAAATTAACGAGACAAATACAAATAAAGAGAATAAATTTATGTCCTAAAACTATATTCTGAAGCACAGGTTTTGGACATCAAGGTTTCCTGTTTTTTACTGTAATTCTAGTCTCAAGGTTCCTGATCTGCATGGTAGGGGGCAAAAGTGACTAACACCAGAGAGACAGTGAGCAATTCTCCACCGTTACTTACATCGACATATAACAAGTATGAAAAGCTATTAACGTGCCTTTACATATACCTAAATGACTATCCAGCATGCCAGAAAATAGAAAATAATGTAAAAAGAGTTTAACTACTTCCTCACAAAATAATACTTCCTAAAATAAAATGAAATGTAGCAGATTTTGGCCACTTCCAAAGCCTCGTCTTCTGCACTGAAGAGACAACAAGTTAACCTGATCAGTTGTTCAGTGCTGAGACTAGGTAGTGATGCTTCATAAATATATGGACACTGTGTGGCTGCTTCTGTTAGATCATTTGGAAGACTAGCTACTTCAGATGACCCTTTGGTTTTGTATGAATTTAGGATGAGTAGACAAAATGGGGCTAGTCGCCATAGACTGACTGAATTGTAGAAGTAGCAATAAATCTACTGCCACCAGGAATAAAGGCACCATTTAAGAAGCTTTTGCTCACAAGAATCCAGAGCCTCTAAAGGAAGCCTCATCATTGCAGCAAGAAGCATATTAATATCCTCTGAGACAAGGCATGTTTTAATGGAGGGATGGTTCAAATTGCTCAAGTCCTCGATGGGCTGGTCTCCAGTCAATTTTCTATCTGTATTTGAGAGCTAAAGAGCATTATCAAACACAAGCATATGAAACAAAAAAAGTATAGTCCTTTGGTGCTTGACAAGTGACACACTAGATCGAGATGTCAACATACTCCTGGCCTTCTTTCAAATCTTTCAAAAATCAAAACAAATTGAAGTTGAAGCCACAAAACTCTCAAGTCTAGCTCCATGAGGGGAGGAAGCTGCACTATGCACCATCTCCCCATATATCTACTATTTCATATATCTCTCTCCCTCTTCAAACTGGCGAGGGGGAAAGACCAGGGAGAGAATCACCATATATACTAGTAGGGCCTCCCAGAGGAGACAATGCTAAAAATTCACATGGCTGTACAGAGATGCTTGGAAGGTTTGATCCTCCACCAGACTTGAACCAAATTCCTGAAGATTTCAGTGATGCAAGCTTGGTTCCTAAGCTGAACACCTTACAAGCCATTATGATTGAGAATTTCACAGTGTTCTCAGAATTTTAAAAAGTACAGGCATATTAGCACTGGCAAACAAGTAACAGTATCAACAGAAAATGACAAATAGGCCTTTATGATTTAAAATCTGAGTAACTTACTTTCTGAGCAAACATTCTTAATTCTGTCAAAGGCGGACACATACCTTCAATATTGTTTTTGGACGTTTTTTAAAGTAAAGTTTTGGCTTTTCAATTACAGGAAGAGGAGGAAGTTTCTTAAGTTCTTGTAGGACAGCCATTGCAGCACGTTTCTTTGAGAGTTTCTTACTGTTGCCTTCTCCTTCTGCAGTGAACTCTCCTACTGTAACTCGTGTAACAAAGCTCTTCATATGAGGAGGTCCACTTTCTTTAATCACCTTTTAAACAAACATAACAGTAAGTCAAACCATCCTACAAGAATCTAACTTGTATTTTTGGATGTTTGTATTTCTGCAATGTACTTACTATTGATGTAGTTTTCCTACTAATTGAAGGCACTTAGGTGGGTTTTCATAAAATCTGGACAAGTATTAATGACAGTACCAGGTTTGAGGATAGAAAATTAAGGCTGATCTAACCATCATATTCAGTGTTTCACAGAAAATACAGCAAACCTATATTTTCCAAAAGATTTATACAACAATAACACAACACGCAACAAAATGCACATTTAAACCAAGGCTCCTGTTTTTTTCCTTGCAAGGTGCTTCACATACTAAAGAAATTCACGAAGGTCCACCAGGCTTTGGCTATTTCTCTCCATACAACATATTCAAAACTATGTTTATATGGCATCATTTCAACCCATTCTTAATTTTTTTCTTTTATCACTGAAAACTAGGATGTTCACTCATGATCTCAAACTTCAGTCTTATAGGTCTGTATTTTTACACTGTCCTAGCTGCAGGCAGCTTGCCTGCTTTCAATGCTTACCTTGTCAGAGTACACAACTCAGAGTGATATCCCATACATTTGAAAGGCTGCCACTGTCTCGCCTCCACGACTTTCAGCTGTCCCTCCCAACAGTACCGAAAGCAATTATCAGAAGAGCCACCATAACTCACACAAAAGCCAATCAGTTCTGAAAAGTTTCATTTATTCATTCCCTTCCATACATATTCAGGATGACAATGACAAAACCCATTTGAAGTCCTTCTCCACTATTAAAAGTTAAAATAATATGAAAAAAATTAAGTCCTGAACGCTGTACCTTCTTTTTGCTCTTTTCTGTCTCCACTTACCCACACAGACAATTCTTCTTTCAGGAGGTTATACTGTTAGGATGCATTCACCAAAACATTACAGCACTGCAAGTGCTAAGATAGTCAGCTCGTCATGTACGCACCATTTACTCATCTGGATAACGTCTATCAGGAATTAGAGACCTCATTTGGGAAAAGGTTCAGTTATTTTGTTTGATGGGCGGAAGCAGCTACCTAATTTAAACTTTGTTACATATAATATGTATAAGGAGATATTAGAGCAACTGACAGGCACCTCTTTGTACTATCTTCAAAATCAATACAAATTTGAACTGGGGGAACTGGGGTTGTTCAGTTTGGAGAAGAGGAGGCTGAGGGGAGACCTTATCGCTCTCTACTACCTGAAAGGGGGTTGTGGCAATGTGGGTGTTGGTCTCTTCTCCCAAGTAACCAGCAATAGGACGAGAGGGAATGGCCTCAAGTTGCGCCAGGAGAGGTTTAGCCTGGATATTAGGAAAAATTTCTTCACCGAGACAGTAGTCAAGCACTGGAACAGGCTGCCCGGGAAGGTGATGTAGTCACCATGACTGGAAGTGTTCAAAAAATGTGTGGACGTGGTGCTTCGGGACATGGTTCAGGGGGCATGCTGGCGTGGGGTTGATGGTTGGACTTGATGATCTTGAAGGTCCTTTCCAACCTTAGTGATTCTGTGATTCTGTGAAACACATATTTTTTCAGTAGGTGCAATTACATCCAACCATTTTCTGAAGAAGTGTAATGCCTGAGTGTAAGGGAACGGAGGTAAAGGTGCTAGGGACTTCTTGGTGTAATAACTGTATTTTTAATGGGCTGGAACCTTCAACCTTAATATTATTACAACATGTTTTGTATTAAAGTTCTTTTTATCAAGGTCATGTCCCCTGCATTATTCAGTTTCACTGTTACACTGTAATGAGGTCTCCTAAGGCTTGTATTTCTTTTTTAAGCTCTCTTTTGTGGCAACTTTGCCCAGCAAATACGATTATCACAGCATATCAATAAAAAGACACAAAATGAAAATTAACAGACAACTTTGTCCGCATTTTCCCAGAATAAGACGACATCTGCGCCAGCAAGGGGTTTTTCTGTTGTAGGCTAGGAGCACTCCCACTCTAAGATTCCAGGTAATAGTTTCAGAAGTATTTTCAAGATTGCCTCACTTGAAAGTTGCCCACTAGTGCTTCCTGTGTGAGCAGGCAGCGGTGCTTTCGAGGCACTGACCCATGCTGAGCCACAGGAAGCTGCACTGCCTGCACCAGGGCTGGGACAAGCCATCCCTGTACATTGCTATCCAAGTATTGCCACACGTTGGCTGTAAAAAATGGCTAAATTAACCTTACTTAGGTCCTTAACCTTTTTGTGGTCTTACTAATACCATTATATAGGTGTTTCTACTTACATGCAATATAATGTATTAATAAAATATACAAGAATGTCTATACTGACCAGATGAAAAAGGACAGAATAATTTGCTTAAGAAATATAATTGCCGAGTTCCTAAAATATTAGTTTTATATAAGTTCTCTCATATATAGAAATGGACAAAAATATATATATGAAAAAGAATGTTAATACAAAATCAGACTATATTTTCATATACATGAAAATATATTTCTTAATATAAAATTAATGTATTCCAGTGGTTTTTTTAACTTTTAAACTTTTAAGTATGTGACACAAGGTAAATAATTGCCTGGAAAACATTCAAAACTGTTTCTTTGTTAGTGTATAAATGGAAAAAAGCCTGTGTTGTCAATGGCATGAACCCCATAGGATTCAGATGGGACCTGGATCAAGCTAAACATCAAAATTTGGTAATTTAGCAAAAAAAATATTTACCTAACAACATTTTTGGTTAACCCCAGATTTTAGATCTTTTCACTCCACGTGATTTCAAATAATTGTGCTATAAGCCTGGGGACAGAGAACACTAAAAAGAAATTCAGCCTCTGCTATCCAAGAACACTATATGCATTAGTACATTAAACTATTTCCTCAGTTGAAAGATACGACCCGTGGACCAAATCATGGTTAATTTAGAACTGAGAATTTGATTAAGGGTGACAGTTCAATACACTTTTCTTTTTCTGTTCCACTGATTTAAAGAATAAATCCAGCAAGAGAAAACACATGGGGCCAAAACACATCTAAGGTCAAGTTACATCAAGAGCGAATTTGGCTCAATTTAATGAATCATGCTGACAAATGAAAAACAGCAGTACGATTACAACGAAAGAGCAATGCTGCTTCAATTATTAATGAGTTTCCAGGTAGAAAATTCAAAAGATTATGACAAGATTAAATGGACATTGAAAAAAAAGAATAGAGCAGAGCAAACAGGTCAACAAAAACATGTTGCCTATTACAATAATTATAATAATCCGTGATTATTTAGAAGTTTTAAAAAACCAATATATTTCCATGTGCTTGTGTGGGCAGACATACCAGATTTTCTCAGTTAAAAAGAAAAAAAAAAGTCTGGATATTTGATTAAAACTGAAGCACGGAAGGGTGACCATCATGCCAAATCCAAATGAGACCTACTCTGTATGTCAATCATCCTGTCGGAAAGCCTTAATCCCCAGGAGAGCAGGAGCCAGACGGGTGTGAAACTTCCTGCCGA